AGGCAAGTCCATAATTTTGTAAATTCAGATCCTGTTACTGGGGCTGAGAACGAAAAAAGATGCCAGTTACATGAATGGAAAACTGCTTCCAAGCATGGATCCCTGCTGCACCAGGAGACACTCTCCAAAAAATGTAGATGGAACTTTAGGTAACATGCTGCAAAAATCAAAATGTATATCTTCAGTCAGGAAACAAGGAAGATCAGAGAATTACATATTATAACACTGGCTAATTAAACAATTTGAAGAAATAGAAATAACAAGACTACAAAACACAGAATTTCCTATAATCCTAAAATAATATTATCATACTGGGCTGCGGAGAAATATTTCCATATAGAATGAATTAAACTTCAGGTTAATAGCTGGAATAAAAGTAGCAGCAAAATGGAAACTGCAACACTAGCTGCAAACAGTGAAAAGTTTGAATATAGTTTTTATGCCAAGAAGTGATGTATATAAATTGTTTTTTTGGCACAGATAAAGGAAAACAAATTTACAATAAATCTGAATGCTTTACTGGAAAGTAAGATAAGATCAGACTTTATTCTCAGATACTATGAAACAGGTTAAAAAGATATTCAGGATTACAGCTTGGAAAATTATTATAAATTTTGATAGAAACCCCTTAATTAATCCATTCATTCATTCTGGGAGTTGAAGTCCACATATCTGAAAGTTGCCAAGGTTGAGAAACACTATCAGAGAGTTAAGCAGTCTCACTCCACCTCTCCACAGCTTTCTTTCCATCTCTCCCAAATGACAATATATAATTATATAAATGTTTCAAGTCTCTGTTAAGAAGAGTTTAATTCAGAACCTTCTTGCATCTGATTAACTAGATTTTTGCATGTTAGAATATGTATATCTCAATTTACATACAAATTTAATAACTAACATCTTTAAGAATCTATTTTAAAAAAAGAAAGCCCAGCAACATATTTTTCACAAAGTGAAACAGAGCTATGTTACATAGGCATAACAACCATGCAGTAAGAAGTATCTTCAACTCTTTGAATTGGATTAACAGTACATCTAGCAGTTGGTAATCAAAACAATTTCATCCAAGCCAAACATTTAAAAAATCTGTTTAAATAAATCTGTATTTTACGATACTACATCTTCTGTTTCTTGGCATTTCTTATAGAATTCTGTGCAAAAATGTCAAACTTGGCACTAGCTATTTCCATCTACTTATTTTAATTGGTGTTTCATTTAAAAAGATGGATTGGATAATACAAATTAATTTCCAGGTATGAGCTGTATATTAAATTTTATACAACAGATTGACTGATCACCACTTAAGAAATTTAATGAAGTACAGGAGAGAAGTGGTGCAGAATACTACTTGCACTTAACACTAGCTGGATACCCATCTTACCAAGAAATAGTTGCTTCAAAATATCATGTTGATGTATGATCATCCTGAAGCTAACTACTTATTTTTTAAAAGTGAAATTAATGCATTCTCTTTTGCCAATACTTAATGCTGACAGACAAGCATAGCACTATATTACATAGTAGATACAAGTCATGATCTCTTATGCTCTTTCAAATAAAAATACTGAAGTATTCAGGCTATCATCATCTGTGCTTTTTAAACACTGTTCCTCCATCCACACAAAATTAATTTCTTTTAATTAAAATTCCATAAATGGGAAATTTAACAGTGGTCTTTCAGAGAGGTGGGTGAAAAAACCTCTCAATTTACCACCCCCTATAAGCTGAGGCAAATATTGAATTTGCCCTAAATATATCCTGAATCTAACAAAGAGATCTTTTTCATTGGTTTAAAAAGTTTACAAAAGACATTTGAGCTGCCCTGCATAAGCTGACTTTCATAAATAAACTAGACTGGCATATTTAGTTGAAGTGCATCACATCAAGCCCAATGTTTTCTGAGCACACCTTCCAACTCATTCCACGTTAGAAACATTCCAAAAATAGACTTGTATGCAAACTTTCTAAGGCTAGTAGTAATACAACCATGATTCTCACGTAGAAGATAGACAGCCCAAATCAAAAGAAACTTACTTATTACTTACAAAGCACTAATACTCAATTAAAGAGTACAACAGTTAAGTATAATAAGGGATATAGAAAAGAACATTTAAATTTTATAAATGTAGATTCAGAACCTGAACTGCAGATAAGCCGATGGTTGGCCAAATACGCCAATAAGGGAAGATTTAAACATTTTCTTTCCACCCAAAGTTTCTCTACTTCAAACTGCATCCTCCATATTTCATGCTCTATGGAAAATAGCAGTTGTTTTAAATTCAGACATACATGTTGAAATAAAACTTAGGGATGAACTCAAACGCTCGTATTTTTAAAGTTGTTGTTTGGTTCTATGTAGAATTTACTCATCTATGTCCAAAATGAAAAAGTGTAATATTAATTAAAAGGTTTCATGGCAAAACTACTTTCCTATATGTGTAAATGTGAAATATCATGTACAAAGATATTTGTTCTCACTGGTACCTGTAATAATGAATGATTCAGTGTAACCTCCAACTCTGCAATCTGATGTGCCAGATCCTCATTGTCACTATGGATTTCTAAGTCCTCCTCAGGTATTGTTTCCCACCTACTTTGATGAGCTGCCAAGTTATGAACCAATTCATACTGTCCTGGTAGTGCTAAACTGATCCGTGTTTGTCTTCCATGTGTGAAACGAATCCGACGTCTCTTACAATTCTCCTCACTGCTAATTTTGGTGGTAGGTAGCAGTCTCTCTCCCAAGAGCATGTTGAGTAACTGGCATTTGGCATTACAGTTTTGACCAAAGATTAATAAGCATGGGTGACAGCTTACTGTCAGCTGGAGGTATTCTTCCTCATGTCGGGGAAAGGCAATTGAGCTTAGCTGTCCTAAAAAAAAAAAAAAAGCATACAAATCTTATTAGGAATTTTATCTTGCAAGTATTCCATAACATTCTCAGCACAGAATTCCCCAAGATTATCCTTCCCCATCCAAGTGCCTTCTATACTGCAATTTCCAGAATTACTCAGCAAACACAGCCACTGCAACTTATATTCCCAAACAAATCTTATTAGGAATTTTATCTTGCAAGTATTCCATAACATTCTCAGCACAGAATTCCCCAAGATTATCCTTCCCCATCCAAGTGCCTTCTATACTGCAATTTCCAGAATTACTCAGCAAACACAGCCACTGCAACTTATATTCCCAATACACCTGGAGGATGCCAATTGAGAGAAAACTACCCTAGACACATCAGTTCTGAAGTAAGGAGAAGGCATTCTTGTGGCATTTCAAAGTTTTATCTTTATTACTGTGTAAGCATTCATGCATCACTGTTCACTTTGTCAAATGTATTATTGTCCTATATTATAGTCCTAAGAGAATATTGTATATATACAGAGTTTGGGGGGTAGAGTGAGGAGAGGAAGAAAAAAATGGTGAAAGAGAGATCAGAGACAGAGAGCTTTATCTCCACAGAGGACTGGATATGGCTTAGGGGTTATTGCTCCCACATATCAAGTTTCTTCTTCCTTTCCATGCCAGCAAATACACATTTTAGGCAGTAAGGAAGATAAAAAGCAATCCAGAATCTTGTGCTTTTAATTTATATAATGGTAGTAAATTAAGTAAGCATTCTTTCCACAGCCCCATCAATACAACATTAAAACTTGAATTTATCTTAGTGCTTTTCAGCTGATGACAGAGAGGCGGCAGCAGCAGCAGTCAGGCTCCTACCCATACTGATATCTCTCCCCATCCCCGTGAGTTCTATTCCCTTCAGCTATCAGTTGTTATTTCCAAGACTGCTGGTCCATCCACTCCGTTGTGCATAGGCTGGCTCCATATTCTACTGAATTATAGCCTGAGAAGGACTTTGGAAAACAATAAACCTTCAAGTCATTCTATCTAAAGACAGTTTATCTGAAAAAGTAAGGACTATTCCCTATTCCCTCAGAACTTATTGCCCAAAAATGTTTATTTTCTACCATATTATTCAAAATATATAGGGCTACTACTAAATTCAGAAATACAAATCCTATCAACGATACACAGTTTAACACAACACATATCTAATTTTGTCTATGCTTTTAATATGAAAGACTCTCTTCAGTTGAGCTCAACTCCTGTTAATTACAGGGACATGTCCTGTAGTTCTCTTGGCAGCAATAAAGAAGTAGTTTGCTATAGCTTCCTCCTGGATGTTTTTTTCAACTTCCCAGTCTAATCAGTAGTCTTGGGATTGCCTAATTAATTCCTGACCAACTGTTAAACAGGTCTGTCCTTGCTTAGATTTTTGGGTTAAGGTTAATTTTATTTGGGAAACAGTGAAATCTTATGAAGAAAGAAATAGGCTGTAAAATCATGGTTTCAATATAGGAGTGTTCAAAGACCACCCATCCCTGAAAAGCTGGCAGTATGGTCAAGCAAAATAACTATTTTGCTTTATTTTGTTTAATTTTTAAAAGTTTGCTATATGTCTCCAACACAGAAATATTAAGTGCAATTCTATGGATTAAATTACATTATTATTATTATTATTTAATGTAAGACATACATTTGCCACATTGATTTCAGTGGGACTGGAATACAACTTTAGTTGAAGCAAGGTGCACATAAATCAACAAGAATCAACAGATCTGTACAGTATATGATTGCAGTCTTAGTGTTGTTCTAACCTCTTATATATCATATGAATAATAATGGCTATTATTCAAATTTGTATTAGCAATTTACTATTGATACACTGGAACAATGCTTGGGTCTAGTAATGAGAAAAGCATATATTCGTGTTCCTATTCTGATCTAAGCATAGTACTTTATAGAAATACCAATTATAAAAAAATGCAATTATACAGAAAACAGAACTCTTTCTATATTTTATTCTGTTTATCAAATATAACTGCTAAACGACTTCACAGTAGTATTTTATATGCAGATTAATGCAGTAGAAAGCATGTAAAAGCAGAAAGTGTTCTGCTGAAATTAAAATGGGACTGCTGTCACACCCACAGGAAAAGGAGAAAGCTTTTTTCTGCAAAACCTGAAAACCAACATTCAAACTGAAGATGAAGGAAGGTATGTTGAAATATAACTTTAAGCCCACTGCATACTGAACAAGTCTGAGCTTTTTTCCCTAGGCAGTTCATGTCTAAAACCACAAGTAGTACACTATATGTTCACTTACTTTTTTCACCAGTCTAAGACTATGTGCTGACCAAGTGACCAAGTATTGCCAACTACTGGCAAGTATTGCTTGTCTTTTGATAAGAAAGTAGCATTTCAAATGTTCCACGGAGCCAAGAATGTAACTTCAGGGAGAAGATTTTCTTATTTTTAGCTAAGGTGTGACATGGTACCAAGTGCTGCTGTCCCTTAGCCCTGCAGAAATCAGGATCATGCATGATTATGCAAGTGGAAATGATTTAGTCAATGAAGATTAAATCATTAGGTTCCTTTAAAAAAAAAGATTTGTTTTAAGAATCACAAATCATTTTTTAAAAATCGTGATAAAAGTTTTTAAAAAGAACTATGCAATGATTTGCTTTTATTTATTAAAAATCCATTGCAAGCAAGCAAGCAAGCAAACTGGTTTTAAAACTAACATGGCTGTTTCTTTCCTGATACACACACACACACACACACACACACACACACACAGAGTCCTTGGGTTACGACAGCAATTGGGACTGGGATTGCTGTTGCTAAATGACAATCCCAGCAGTCCTGGTTGTTGTTGTAACCCCAAGATGCGTGGGTTAAGCAGGAAGTGGTGGGAGTCCCAGATAAGGAGTGTGGGGGTGCTGCAGGGCGTTGGGTGTTAGGTTCAGCCCAAAGAACTCCACGAGACAGCGCAATATAGTTCTGTTGCGTTTATTAGCTTCACCTCAATACAGAAATCTCTCCAGACTGAACCTAAGATCCCAAGCCAGCAAGCCACAATACCCTGAATTCCTTAGGGTGGTGCCAGTCTCATCTTCTTAAACTTCCCACGCTCCTGTTGAGGGCTAAGGAAACGCTTATCCCCCGAGTGTGGCCTTCATAACACCATTCCATCACATTGGGGGAGGCCTCGGGAGGGTCAGTGCAGGCCACGTGCGAAAACAGGAAGGCCAGGGAGTGGAGGACATGGTGGGGTACAAGCACAGGAAGGCCGGGGGGTAGATGGCATGGCAGGGCACAAGCTTTGGAAGGGGAGGGACTTACCAGAGCAACTTGCAACCTTTTCTGCCAGCTTCTCCATTGATTTTCCTTTGGGGAAGTCAGCAGGGAAGCTCTCAAATAGCGATCACGGGACACTGCAACCATTGTAAGTGCCAAGCGCCTGAATTGTGATCACGTGCCTGCAGGAGTGCTGCAAACGGCCAGAACTTTGAGGACTGGCTGTAAGTACTTGTTCAGGGCCACTGCAACTTTGAATGGTCGCTGAACAAGTGTTTGGTAAGTGAGGACTACCTGTATATAAATATTTGACTACTCAATTCTAATCACAATTCTTATTTTTGAAGCAGCTTGCTATGCCAGCATTAATATAGCTCAGAATGAGATGTGTTCATGGGTGTTGGCTGAAATTGTCTGGGTGTGTAGACGGCAAAGCAATAAGAAGCAATCCAGTGATTGAATCTGCCTGTATAGCACTCGGCAAGCATCTCTGCTTTGAATATATTTATAAAGGGAGACAGAACACTGTCATCAAATAGGTCTCTAGGCAGATGGTTGACTGTAATTAATTAATACCCTTCATGAATATTTTAACTGCCTCCTATAATGTATCTGTTGCCTCACAGAGAAGACTGTTATGCAGAAAATATTTCACAGAGCAATCAATATGTTTACAGATACTGTATAATAATTGCTTTTATTTTTCAGGTCCTTTCTCCATTTACAAGGTTATATTCTAGCAGGCTGAAGAGGTACAAAACAACTGAACTGAAGAGCTATCAATTCTGCAATTGGAAAAATAATTTTTGTTGTACAAAAAAGAATAATTACACTAAAGTGGGGAGGGAATACTTCAAGCAGGGGGATGGCTAGCCCCGTAGTGGCCAGCTCTCCACAGCATGATTTTCCATCTGCTTGGATCTTCCTTTTTTAGTATTGTTTTA